TCAGTAAGAAAATAAAAATCTGTTTTTGTTTTCATTTACAAATTAATTTTGTTTTTTCCGTTGATTGTCAAATAGATGTTCTTCTTTGCCTGGACCAATGCAAGGACATTTGGATCATGTATATGAACAAATGAATGAAATAACATTACAATTAGCTGAAGAACGTCTTAAACACAAACAAACCCAAATCAAAGTATTTTATTGCATCTTTTTTATCTTTATAACAGAAGAAAAATGTACTTGTCTAGGCTGAAGAAATACTTTTCAATCAATTACAAGATCAAGAGAAACGATTTCAAGAATTACAAAAGCATCAATTACTTGATCATAAAAAAAAATTGAAAGAACAAGAAAAGAAATTTTTGGAATTATTGAATGAAAAACAAATGCAATGTCTTAAACGTGAAGAACAATTAAGAACTGAACTTGAATTTGTAAAACAATCGTTTCATACATATAAAGTGAAAAATTATTTTTATTTATGTTTGCTGTTTCTTTGACTATCAAAATACTTTATTCTTCTAGGTTGCCCTGAAAAAAGAGAATGATGAAAAACTTCCAATGAAACTACCTGAAGTATTAAGAACAATGAAAAAAGAACAACCGAAGAAAAAAGAAGATATTGATAGAAAAATCCATGAAGCTGTTATGAACGAACGGAAAAATATTAGTTTTAGACAACAAAACGAAATTGAAGAAATACAAAAACAACATAAAAAAGAAATTGAAGTAGATATAATTTCATGAAAATAGCTGTTTATCAAAGATTATCTATGTAGACTCTTCAAAAAACTGTTGCCGATACAGCTGTAGATCGTGAACATATAGAATCTTTGAGTAAAAACTTAACATCAACCAAACTTGAACTTGTTGAAACAAAAGAACGTGCAGTTAAATTAGCTACGAAACTGAACGATCTTAAAATTCAACATAATGAAACAGTATGTGGATTTTATTTCTCATCATTATTCTTATCTTCTTTTTTTTTTAGATTCGAGAATTCAATGAATATCGTTTACGTTCTAATGAAAAAACGAAACAACCTTGAAAACTTTATGCCAAATGAATTGACCAATTAAATGTAAAAAAAAAACATGTTGATCTTTGGTAAATCTAACAAACGTACCATAATACTATGGTGCTCAGTGTATTTTTTTTTTATATGTTTTTGTTAGCTTTCATTCGATCGATTTGATTCTTTGTGAAAAAATATGTACTATATATATTTCCTTACGAAGTCCATACTTTTTCTACGCATATACATAATTAATTGTTTTTTTTTCTACCAAAATGTTTGCTGGAGATAATGAGAATCAATGAAACCTTTTTTTTTTGAATAACTTTGCTGTAATGATTAATCATTCGATGGCTTCATGTGATTGCATACAAAAGTCCAATCGTTCTGGCATATCTTATTGCCAAAGATGAAAGCGATAAAACTCTTTTATGGATTCATTAAAGACATATTCTTTTCAAGTAAACTAACTTCGAATCGAACCATTGGCTTTTTAATCGAAAAATCAACTTGCTTCGATTTATTATTTCTTTTTGATAGTCTTCTACTGATATATGGTTACCCTAAACTTCATATACATGATCTAATAGAGAAAATCTTTTAATTGTAAAGTTCTTGTTTTTCTATAAACAGTTTGTAACTCGACTTTATTATTTAAAAAAAAAAGGTTCTTAGTACTAGAAGAACAAGAAAAAGGATTTTGTACATAATTTTCTTTACAAAATGGAATCCTTTTCTCGAGAATTTTCTCTCAGATGATGAGATCTGACAAATTTTTGAAAACATTGGTAAAATTCTAACTATTTCCATGTATGAAAAAAAAAATTGTTCGCAAAGTTTGAGCGTTTGAAAGAAGAATAGCGTAAAAAATTAGAACACGCAATAAACAAAGATTTTAACAGAAATTATTTGTGATTAAAATTAAAAATGTTTTGTTTTGTTTAGTTATTAGAAAATTATATATATGAAAAAAATGTAATGAATTAATCAATGAAATCGATCATCAAATTAAAACTCAACTTCAACAAAAAACATTTCTTTTCGGTGATTTCAGATACTTGTTTTTTTATTGAACAAACATTATTTTTTGAAGAAGTTATTCAATATTTACACTATCTCAACTAATGTACTAAATATTGTCAATGGATTAATGCTATTGTATCTTAATATGAGTTATCAGTGTGACACATTGTCGTTGGTCAATCGCTATGTTATATTCATTATTCAACTGTTCAAATGAACTAACAAGGATTTATAATAGAACTATTCGAATATACCATATCTATGATATTGAACATAAACATTATCGACATCAAATTTATGATCTAATCAACGATTAAAAACAAACCGATTTTAGATTGTCTTTAATATGTATTTGAATTATTTATTTTTTTTCATAGAAATTGTATTTTTATTGAAAGAAATGTTTTATTTGTTTTTTTTTTTACTCTTAGCTTTATTATCTTTTTCAAAATTTCAATTTCAATCCACATAGTTTTCATGATAAGAATTGTAGGAAATTAGGAAATATTGTTTGTAGGGTATATCATAGAAAAATTCCTTTTATAGTTTTTGTTGATACTAAATTTTCATGATATTTTTGTTTCCATCAACATTTTCACAAAGAAATGTTCATCCGTCTAAGTCTCATGCTAAAAATTTCAAAAATACAAAGACTATCGAAGTACATTGAGAGAGAGAGAGAGTTTTATTGAATATTGAATTACCTATGAACTTACTTACATCTATAATCTTAAATTAACAGATAAATAATAATCATTCTTATATATACGTATATTATTTGTAGTTTTAGATGCAGAATAGTAATTTACTTCGTCTTTTCGAAGATCTTTTGATCACATCGAAAAATGTCGAATATATTGAATTACTTGAACGTATTAATATTGAATTATCCAATATATCATCATCAATTCAATTTGAACAAGTTCATCAACATATACCATGGTCAAATTTATTTGATTTACTTCGATCAAATAAAAATGATGAAATTGAACGTCTTCTATGTGCAATAATTGAACATTTTATAAATAATCTAACTATTGAACAAATAATGACTAATTTTTATTCATTATTAAATACTGGTCTTGATAATCAAACAGATTTATCTCAAAGAGGAAAACTTTTATGTTTAAAAGCATTTGAAAAATTAACTCATTGTACAACAACTGAATGTTTTATTGTTATACAAAATTTATTTCAATATACTCATATAAATGCATTACTTCATCTTTTTCTTGATAGTAATGAACAAATATTATGGTTAAAATCAAAAGATATTCTTGAACAAATGATTCATACTGTTAGTCGTATTGATGATAAACAAATATTTGAAAAATATTTACATGAACATTATTTTCATGATATAAATAGAAAAATTTTACTTTCATCAAATAAATATAATGAAATTATTAAACTTCGTCTATATGAATATTTAATTAATTTATGTTTAATTGATTCACGTATATATGAACATATTACAGAAGAACAACATTTACTTGATCAATTTTTATATGATTGTATACATAGTGATACAGATATATTATATTTAATGAATTGTTTAGAATTGTTAACTATATTAACACAAAAATCACATACATTGGCTTATTTACAAAATAAAACAAATGTTATTGATCATTATCTACATTTATTATTATTGACAAATGATGAAAATAGTTTATATGATTTAGTTAAACCAGGTTTTATTAAATTTTTTGGTTGTTATCTACGTAATTATCTTGTTCTGCTTGAAACAAATATAACAAATAATCAACAAAATCAATTACTCGAACGATTTCTACCAATTCTATTTGATATTCTTCTTCAATCTGATTCAAGTTCTTACATTACTATTGGTTTAGGTAAGATATCGATTTTATCAATAAAAAAAGAAAATTAAAATGTAATGTTAAATAAGCAAATTTAAGACACGTTCTATTACGTTAGTGTTTATGTATATAAAATATTATTGATCATTTGTATTATTTATGATTCATAGATAGTCTATCACTAGGGTTATGATCTCAAGATTTTATTGAAGAACTCAGCTAACAATACTTTGAGAAATAACTAAATAGAGAAGAGATGGGTCCCTAATGACTGATTTTAGTTACGAATAAAACATTTCTGCAACTTTTCCGAGGATTTCCAAAAATTCATCAAGATAGAACAATGCTTATTTTTTTCCCGAAATTAGAGATCATTCAAATATTTTTAAACAAAATTCTTTTTTTTACTTGTTTAGATACAATTGGATTCATTGGTAAAACATTAAATGGAAAAGAATATATACTTTCAAATGCTAAATTTGGTGGTTTTATTGAAAAATTAGTTCAAATGATACGTTCATCTCAATCTGATATTCGGTAAGATTTTCGAAAAAAAAGAAAGAAATATTATTACTATTATTATAAATATTCGTTCATAATTTTAGTATTCGTTGTCTTGCTTGTCTTACTGATTTATTTCATATATCAACATTTAATAGTTCATCATCACATGCTTGGTCTCTTACAGAACAAATTTATCGTTTATGTAATCGAGTATTTTCGATTTTATCAATTATTATTGAAATAGCTAAACAACCATTTATTGATTTACGTCTTGCTGCTTATCGATGTTTATTTGAATTAACACGATCACCATGGGCATTACATGCTATGAATACTGAACCTGGTTTTATTGAGTTTCTTCTTAATCGTTCAACAGAAAAAGATAAAGAAGGAAAAGAAGCAAAATTTTCTATCATTCAATCGATCTGTCAAAATGGTGACGAAGCTAAATTAGCAATGGGAAATGTTAATTATTTAAAATTCAGACGTTATGTTAATGAAGGAGTTTTTTATGTTGAACCCGAGGCTAATGTTGCTTTTGATGGATCAAACGAATAGTTTTACCCCTTGCTAACTTTATTGTTAAAAAAAAAAAACCAAAATAAACAACTTAAATTTTTTATTTCAGATATTTCATGGCTAATATTGCCGAACAGCTTCAACAAGCAGTCAATAAAGGTCTTTCTCATAAAGAACTTATTGACAAGTAAGTATTTTCATTTTCAACAGTTTCACAAATCTTGAATTAGTATCAGTAGACTTTGAAAAAAATAATTCAGTTAATTTAGGCTATTGTATTTCAATTTAAAATATATGTAAAGATAAACATTGATTGACGTTGAAATTATTAACAATGATAAGTGATTTCGAGGAAAGCAGAGCGACTTATGATTATATTAATATTTTCCTCGTAAAATATAAATTTTTCATCTCATGTAATGTTACAATCATATACTTCGATTTTCTTGAGATTTAGATTGTAAATCGAAATATTATATATTGTTCTTCAGCAAACCAATAACGTTTAATTATGTATTCAAATTTTGATGAATTCTTTTCTTGTATTTTCATATAAAATTATAATAATCTTAATAATCAAATTGTCTTTTATTGAATAACATATGAACGAAAAGTGTTCATTATTATTAGATTCTTAAAAACCTAACTTTAAAGATTTTTTATATAAAAAATCACATTCTACAGCTCTATCATGTTGTAAATGATTTATACTAATATAATTATTTCATTATCAAAATGTATTCTGTGGATCAGTGATCCATTCTCCTAGTCACTTTGCAAGTGCATTAATTAATAGCTATGCATGAAAAAATACCAAATATCGAAAAACATGGCGTTTTACTTTGTGTCACGTTTTTTTTTTCAAAATCAACGTTTTCGCGAAAAATTGAAAATTTTCCCCTTTTTCTTCCAGATACTTCGACCGATTGAGCTGAAATTTTTTGTATGACAACTCCGATCTAATTACAATGTATATACATTTTTTTAAAATAATGTTGTGGTTGTTTTTGACAGGGCTTCAAATATTTTAGGTATCCAAAGAGAAAGAAATAATATTTTTTAAAGAAGAAAAACGTACAGGCCCGATTTGATCGTAGTTGTTGCAAAAAAGACATCAGGTCAGTTTTTGGCAGTTGTATCCCGTATGTCTTATAGAAGAAAGTATATGGGCATGCTGAGTCGATGACAAATTTTACTGTACTTTCCGAGATCTATCTACTCTGAAAGTTCCATCATTTTTAGAAGAGCTGTTTCTGAGAAACTCGGGCAGGTTAACTTAAATGAATAATACTATATTTCGACTTTTGAATGACTTGTTTTTTAATATTCTTGAAACGCAAGAGATGTTGTTTGACGATCTTTGTTATCTTGTATACCAAGTTGAGAGTTTCTCCTGAAATATAATGAGTAATGATTATTTTATTTTTGTTTTCAGGTTCAAATCGATTCTCGATGAAATCATTAAAGATCCAAAACAACCACAAACAGTAGATTATCTAAAAAAATTCCTTGATGCAGGTTTGTATTTTGTTCATATATTTAATTTGTAGTTTTCTCTTCTGTACTTAGTCGTGGATGATAAAATTGTTCTTGTTGCATCACGTCAATTATTAACGGATTTATGTACATCCTATTTAACTCGTTTGTCATCGGAACAAGCAAAAGAAGTTGCATTATATGCACTTGAACGTATTGCTGCTCGAGCTATTTCATTTGAAGATCAAGTTGGACTCTATAGAAATTTTCTTGCTGATATTTATGAACGTGAAGAAAACTGGCGTGAAGCAGCTAAAGTTCTTTGTGGTGCACCATTAGAATCAGCTCAAAAGTATAACAAGCTTCTTTTTTTTTTTATTTGAATATTTTATGATAATATGTTTTTGGTTTTATTATTAGACCTTTATCATCAGATTATAAGTTAAAAACTTATTTACGTATTGCTCGACTCTATCTCGAAGATGATGATCCAGTTCAAGCAGAAGTTTTTATCAATCGAGCATCACTATTACAGAATGAAACACGAGATGAAGAATTACAAATTCTTTACCGAGTATGCATTGTTTTTTTTTTTTGTTGAAGAAATCTATTAAAGAAAAATAAGAATTTTCGATTTGATTACAGAAAATTTATCATATCTTATAGAATTTTAATAATGATGAACTTTTCTTATACGAAACATATCGGCTTCTAGGAATAAATTTCAAATATTAAAAACATTTTCTTATCAAAAAAAAAAAGACGAGTTTTTTTAATAAGAACACTACAGTAGGAAGAAAGAAAGAAGCATCTAAAGTGTTTGATAAGAATTAATTATACCTTTGGATAAGAGCTTTTTTAATAATATTACGTAATAAACTTTTAACATTATCGTTGAAGAAAGTAAGTCAACTCTTTAACCTAATAATTGAGTCGTGCTTCATTCATTTGCACTGACTCACATTAAAAAACTTGTTCTTCGACATAAATTCATAAATAACACGAACTTTATGCTAAAAGCTTTGATAGAATTAATAGCTAGTGAAAAAGCATTGCACAGTTATTATAACATAATTTCCTATCGATAAGAAATAGAAATTTTCAACAGAATGATTTCAAATCAGAATCAAAATCCATGATTACATATTATAAAGAGAAAATGAAAGGTATTAATTCCGACATGATTCTGGAAATAAGAGATCAGGTTTCAATTCAAAACTAGTTTCCTTTACTAGTATCTTATCATATATATAATCGTCCCAAATGAGTCATTTTTCAAAATTTCATTCATGATAAATATAAAATAACAATATAACTGCGAAAAAAAAATCAAATTAACACTACGTTTAATCTTTATGTCATTCAATACGAATGGTTCATTTTGACTCATTCGGCATCTCTACAGTTGAATGGCTTCGCCCAAATGTTAACTAAGCCAATATCATAATCAACATCTGTATAAGCTGTTCCTGTGATTGATTCAATGCTTATTATTTTGTATTAGTGTCAAAGTGTTAAAGGTTAGAGAATGTACACTCGCAAAATAATAGACTCTAAAACAATTGATCTCATTCTATTTCTTTGAAATTAGCATAAGTACAGATACTTAAATCCAAAAACAAAATGATAGTTCATACAACGACATTATCTAAAATAATCTTTCGAAATTTTAATGTTTTCTTCTTGACTTTCGATATGATAAATAATCATAACAAAAAAACATATTTTTGTTTTTCTTTTTTTTTTCTCATTTTAGGCATGTTATGCTCGAATTCTTGATTATAAACGAAAATTTGTTGAAGCTGCACAACGTTACAATGAATTATCACTTAAATCAATTGTTAGCGGTGACGAACGTATGAAAGCTTTAGATAATGCATTAATTTGTGCTATATTGGCACCGGCTGGTCCACATCGGTCGAGAATGTTAGGTACATTATTTAAAGATGAACGATCTCAACGATCACCTGCCCATTCAATGTTAAATAAAATGTACAGAGAACATGTTTTTCTTTTATGTTTGTGCATACATAACATTTTTGAAAAATATTTTAGGTATTTAGAACGAATTATAAGTCCACATGATGCAAAACAATTTGAAAGTCTTCTAAGTGAACATCAAAAAGCAACAACACCTGATGGTAAAATTATTGTAAAACAAAAAGATTTTGTTGATCAAAGATCGTTTTTCTTTTACAGGTTATACAATTCTTCAACGAGCAGTTATTGAACATAATCTTGTTGCAGTAAGCAAAATATATACAAATATAACATTTGCTGAATTAGGTGGTCTTCTTGGAATTCCGAGTGAAAAAGTAAAATCAATCAAATTTTAATTTTTTTCAATTAAATTCTTTTAATTTTAGTCAGAAAAAATTGCATCACAAATGATATCTGAAGGTCGTCTAAGTGGTTTCGTTGATCAAATCGAATCTGTTCTTCATTTTCAAGGTTAAATAAAGATAATTTTAATGAGAGAAAAAGAATCTATTATTTTTATTTATATTTTATAGCTAGTGAACAACTTGCACAATGGGATCGTCGTATTGAATCATTTTGTGTGCAAGTTAATCAAGTTCTTGATAAAATTCAAGCTGTTCATCCCGATTGGTGCCAAAAAACGATGGCATTAGTTGAAGCAAAAATCAATGCAGCAACAAATGATGATGATGATACACCTATAGCTGAAACAAATACAACAACTGTTAAACCAATGGATGTTTCTTAACTAGTATTATTCGACTAATATTGACTGGTTCTTTTTTTTTCCTGTGTTCTTTTCTTTTTTTTTCTCTCTCTTTTTTTTATTTTATACATAAATCCAGAGATTGTGAAGGAAAAAAAAGGTAATTTGAGATGCATACATATGTACTTACAATTATTTATTTATTTATGATGATACTTTAAGAAAGAAAGAAAATGTCAGAACAATATTTCGATTGAAAATCCATTGTATTGAATTTAATATTTCTCTCGGTTACCATTCGGATATTGATTGCTAAATAATGAGTCCATTACTTCAACTAACATCAGTTGCCTATTTATAAACACTGACGAGAGTATAACTCGTCCTGAGTTGCTGGTTTTTTTTTCTTCTTTCTTCCATTCTGCATCCATTTTCGTTCTGCGTCAGTCATGTTTTTTTTTTTTCGACTGCCTTCTCTTGCTTTTTTTCTTTCTTATAGGTGGTGGTGCGTCAGTTTCATAATAACGAGAGAACGAGAACTATGTTTTTCTATTTGTTGTCGTTTGAAGACAAAGAACAACGACAAGATTGAACTTTTGTCCGATTTGACTTTTTCTATTGCTCGATTGTATTTTTATGTGTATATGTCAAGACAAAAGAACTAATCCATACATAGCATGGAGGAAAAAAATGGAGACAACGGAAAAAGAAGAGAAAGCGAACGATTGACAGTACAACAAAACAAAAGCTATACGCGTCGTCCATTGTCAACCCGTACGAGTGACAATTATCAAGTGAGTCGTATTATTTATTTACATCCTTTTGTTTTTTTTATATTTTATCTAAACATTCGTTTAAATAAAGATCAATAATAATCATACTACTAATAATGATAATAATCGACGTAGTGTAACAGTGTCTATAACCGATGATAAGCATCAATATCAACCACTTAGTCGTCGATCGGAGCGTATTCAACCACCGATGAATACAACAACACTAGTACAATATACTTCCAATCCTTCCCTTAGTGATCAACAAGAACAAAATCGTCAGCATCATCATCACCATCATCATCAACAAACAACAAATGATGAAGAAGCATCAACATATTCATTTCGAAATGTAACAAAAAAATTACAACATGCTAAATCATCTGGTGAACTTTATCAACCATCAGCTCCATTACCACTTCCACCAATGACAAAAATAAATAATGATGAAAATGAAATAAAATATCAACCTCAACATTCATCTGAATCACCACAATCATCTACATCAATTAGAACTCGAGCAGCAACAACAACAGTTGTACCTATATTAACACATCCAACAATAAATACATCAGATGAAACATTTAATTCAATATCAACATCATCATCAAATAAAATTCCATTATGGAAACGATTTAAAAAAATTATTGCACCAAATAAACGAAGCAAAGAAAATTCATCAATTAAAGTGCCAACATTACAATTTAATGAATTATCAACAAACGAAATAAGTAAGGCATTTTACAGAAAACGTAATACAGGTGTGTTTTTTTTTGCTATCAACTTTCACCATCAAGGGATATTTACGTCATAAACACATCTTAGCACTAGAGATAAGAATGGATGATATACAAATATTTTTCTTTATCTAACAAATGATACTTTTATTTGTTTCATTGTTAGCAATAAGAACTAAAATAACTATTACAAACTCTTTCGTTGTTTTTAATTCAAAAATGTAATCAATTATGAATATAGAAAAACACAAAACTTGATTTTATTTAGACGATTTCTTATAATTGCTATTGTAAACTCTATAAAACATGATAAGATAACATTGAAAATGAATTATATGAAGGTCATGATAGACTATTTAATAGACATTTATGTTGAAAACATATTATTTTAAATTGTTTTTCATACTAGATTCTATCTTAAATTCATTTAATAATTTTTCATTCAAGTAGATCGAACAGTTACTGATGGTGTTATTAATAATAACAATAATCTTTTACAAAATCCACTAAAATTAAGTGAATTACGAACATGGCTTTTTTCAAAATCTTTTCCAGAACAACGTATTCGTGATGAATATGAAGTAAGTTAATTAAAATATTGTTTCAAACTATTATTTTTTTTTATTCATTAGAAATTACCTACAGAACCTCTTCATTCTAAAACATTTGCATTTCGACCAGAAAATAAATTAAAAAATCGATTCAATGCTATTGAACCATGTTTGTATACAAGTTTGATAATTTACAAGAGTAAATATCGTTCTTATTTAGATGATCATTCTCGAGTTGTACTTAAAACATTATCAAATGACCCATCAAGCGATTATATCAATGCATCCTATATAGATGGATATCGAGCAAGCAAATTATATATAGCTGCCCAAGGTTTGTTCACAATTTAACCCAGTTATCATCATTTGTAGCTTGCAATCAGCCTCATGATAATTATATAAGAACCACAGATCTTGATATGAGAGAGGATGGGGTGAACTAGTGTCTTTTACATTTTACTTCCTATTTTTCTAATTTTAGAGGACAGTTTTTATTAGTTACTTTCTAATGAACATACTGCATTCGGTCAGAGATAGAACATGTCGATCAATTACCGGCCGTTTTAAAATCGACATTGACATTAGACTGATGAGTTGTCGTACTATTCTATCTGTAGTTAGGGATGTTTGCCATAATCAACTTTGCAATAAAGTTTCATTACAAATCTTCTATAACATACCAAGTGTAAAAAGATAAATGAGACATACCGATAACAGTTTCATTATTGCCTCTGAGTGTCTGTCAAATTTTTAGTGCTTTTCCACTTCTAAAAACTATTAAGAGTTCTGAAAAAGAACATAACATCAGATTGAACTACATCTTCTAAGATATGTTTTAGTAACACTTATTACATTGATAATATCAGTTAATGATATCTACATATTGCTCATATGAGTCGACAACTCAAATTATATCTAAACAGTTCTTTACGAATTATGATTGAGTTAGAACAGAGTTGGTTTCAGTTTATCATTAGACATGCATGACACTATATTGAGTCTTGTCCTTCGAAATATGATTTAGCAAAAGATGATCAGATTACATTGATAGTATTGATTGATCATGTCTTCCGACTATTGATATGAAAAAGTAGTCTAAACATGTAAACGTTGGTTCTTCTAAAGATGTTTTAAAAATAAGAAATAATTGAGAAAAAAATTAAGGAAGACTAGAAATAAAATTCAAATCAATTTCTTCTTGTTTATATTTCAATTAAAACTTCATTATAAGATGTTTGTAATTTTGATATATTCTAAAATATATCATAAATTATTTCTGTTTATATATGTTGAGACGATATAGATTTATATGATAATTAACTAAATATAAATTAATTTAACATTGAATTTCTATAGCACCAACTGATACAACTTTATATGATTTTTATCGTATGATTTGGCAATTACGTATACAAACAATTATTATGGTTACTCGTCTATTTGAAGATGGAAAAGTAAAGAAAATCACAACATTTTCTTATGTGCTAATAGTATTTTATTCTATTGTATTATATAGCATAAATGTATTCAATATTGGCCAGATGAAGGTGAAAAACGTGTTAATGATTTTAAAATTCGTATTGATAATGAAGAAAAATATGCTGATTATACAATACGTAAATTGATTATATATAATCAATCAGAGGTATTTAATCTTTACTAATTGAAAAAAAAAATTAATCCGTATTGACAATTTATTGTTTTCGTTGGATAAACATAGTTCATTTATTCAAACAAATAGATTAACCTTTGTCGAAGCTTAATATATACTTTATATCATTAATCGATTAAGTGATTTCTTTTAAATAAGAGAAAAAAAGATTGATTCAATAATTTGAATAACATATCAATATATATTTATTTATTTATTTATTGTAGCCTTCAGACGTGTTACAAGTTAAACAGTATCATTTTTTATCATGGCCAGGTATATGATTTCATATTGTATTTTTTGATATAAAATATGAAAGTATATTTTAGATCATGGTTGTTTATCGTTATGTACACCTTTACTAGATTTTCGACAGCGTTTTCGTGCTGATTATAAACCAACAAATCCCATATTGGTTCATTGCAGGTTGAGTTTAAATATTTTATTGTACTTTGTGCTTATTAAAAATAATTTTTTTTGTAGTGCTGGTGTTGGTCGGTCAGGTACATTTATTGCTCTAGATTCTTTATTAGAAAGAGCTAAATATCAAGATACTATTGATGTACTTGAATTTACTTATCGAATGAGGTGAAAACTTTTTTCAAAGAATAAAATAAATAAAATTTTCATATGTTTTTTTTTTTTGTTTTTTATTCTTAACTCTAGACAAAATCGAGTATATATGATACAAACAGCAGATCAATATGTATTTCTTTATCGTACATTAATTGAAGGAATTTTAACTATGGATGCAAGTATATCCTTACAAGAATTTATGACAACAAGAAAATTACATATGGATGCTAAAAGTCAATATAAAGTAAGAAGAAATAGAAAAGAAAAACAACAAAATTTCTTTGTTTTTTTTTTCATTAATAGCTTTTGGAACAATTACAATCAACAGTTGAATTTTCATATCAAGGTGCACTTGATCCAGCTAATGTACATAAAAATCGAGTTGAAACAATTCTTGCTCGTAAGTTAAAGTATTTATTTGTTTAAATAATATTTCAAAAATTAAAATTTTTCTGTATTTTCAGCTGACAATAGTCGACCATATCTAATGACACAAGTTGAAAAAACAACCGATTATATCAATGCTGTATTTGTTAATGTAAGTCATATCTATTCTTTTTTTTTTTTTTTTCAAAATTTATCATCAAATTCTTTGATTATCATCCTTAGTTTCATGTTCGCTAAAGAATAAGATTGTTTAACTATAAATAATAGCAGATGACAACTTTGATTTGAAGCTATTTGAGTGAATTATAATAAGAATTTCATATAAACTAATGACCAAGTATAAAAAAGGAGACAATAGAAATGAAAATTGCAATAACATTATGTTTGTAACTTTAGGTACACTTATTTAAAGTATTAGAGTTAATTTAGATGTCTCGATCTCGGATATGACTGAAAGTGAGATTTTCAATTTTGATTCATATTTCAAATAGAAATATATATCCGATGAATAATTTTTAACAAAAAAAAAAGAAGAATTCTTTGTTGAACAGTTTTAGTTTGAAAAGCATTATTTCGAATAATCCATATCAGAATATAAAATCACAGTTTAAATGCTATGAATTTCTCTGATTGTATTTTTTTGTAATTAAAACCTGAAGAAATTTCTCTCAAATACAAACGAAGCAAATTTGACATATTCGTGTCATAGGATCCTCTCATTCAACCGTAATTCTTATATAAATTTTGTGCATGCCCTTGTAATAAAAGCATATATGTGTCCATTATATTTAATTCATCATTTACTTTCTATACTTTGTAAAGCTTCATGTTTATCAAATGAAGCACTTGAAGTATGATTGAAGGGGTTTTATATAATGGCTTAACATGTTTTATATTATTTTTTATAAGAAAGGAAGTAATGCTGTTTCAATGTGCTCTACCCTTTTGTTAGTATTTTTTTTTGTGCAACTATTTTCTGTTGGGAATGAGTGTGGTGATATGGAATCAGACATTGCATGTTGATTCAGGACATGTTTTTCTTCATTAAAAAAAAACCCGATTTTGGTGATCAAAATCTTGAAAAATTATCTATATCTAGGTACTTTGTTATGTGGACGCGACTATATTCTGAAAATATATAGATTTTTGGGAAACATTAATTGATTAATATGATTGTATTTTTATTTCGTAGAGAATACTCAGCTATATATGCAGTAGAAATCTAGCTATTTTACATAAAATTTTAGATGACACGCGAGTTATAATACAATAGAAGAGTTAGTATTGCTTGAATATGATCTATTTCCCCAAGTATTATTGCTTTTTTGATAAAAATCAAATGTCCAAAGTCTGATTTACATCATATCCTCAGGTCACTTCACAATACCCTAAAAAAACAGTTAAACGGAAAAAATATTAGCGGAGGGGTCTAAGCGTCATTTCCTTTCATAACTGCTTTCAAAGACTATTACAATTCTCTACTTAGATCAGCAGCCGTACTAATTGCACGATGAAATATTTTATGAACTAATGCAAGTTGACTGCTTGAACGTAAGAAGATTGAAAGGAAAAATGTCGCAACTAGAAAAATATTTAAAAATTAATGTGTTTATGGTAGGTATGAGTGTGAGTGTAGGCGAAAAGAACACTAGAACTCATACTGCATACTCCACACTCACACAGTGATCAATCTAATTCTCTCTATAAACGATAATTATATGTAAATCAATAGATTATTTTGATTTGATATGCATTCTTGTTGAAATTAATAAGGTGTATCTAGTTCTCTTCGATTATGTTTATATTTTAGTTTTAATATATTAAATAATGGTTATTATTCATCACCATCTTCAATATTATTTTGTAGAATATGTACGAATACTTTAATAAAATCTTAAAATTTAGATAAGAGCTTATTACTAACAAGATGGAGCTTTGAATAAGATAAACTTATATTGAATAGAAATACTAATAGATTATCACTGTTTGTTTGATCTGCTTAACATCATCTGAATAATTATTGATTATTGGACTCCAACATTAGACGTATTGACTTGACAAGGCTTCGATATAGAAAAAAAAAAAGATTAGGTTTGATGTAAGGTTTTTTTTTTACTACTAACATCAACAATACTAATTTGATATGTAAATCATAATCTTCTTTAATAATTTTACCTTGATGTCAAATTGAGTTTTTGTTTTTCTTGATAAAGCTATTAAAATAGTTCATCTATGTCAGTAAGAATATCGAATTCTTTATAAGAACAGATCGAATATTGTCTTTTTTGAATATAATTCTTGACTTTGAGAAAGAAGAAAAATTTCATATGCGATTTTCTTTTTTATACAAAAAAAAAGCCGAATAGCTTTTATTTGTAGTAGTTTCAAAGTCTGAAGAATTATCGAAAGTGTTGTCACGTTAAACAGTTGAATGAAATTCATCAATCTATTCTTTGTTGTTTCTTTTATTAGAGTACCATTGTCTGAATCAACAAGGTTTCTTTTTGTTTGTCATATTTTATGATTTAAGTGTTATGCCACATGAGCCCAGCTGGCTTTTCTTTACATGTGAAACATAAGTTTGACATCATCGTGCAGCTTTCACAAAATAATAAAATTCTAGGTTATGTTCAATCTTTGATGGTTTTTTTTCTATACAGTGAAAGCACTTCTTTCAAATGGAAGAAGTTTTAATTCAGTGTAGTTGATGTTAATTGACAGATAAATTTAGTCTTTTTGTTCTGTTAGAATGGTATCTCTTTTCTAAACTGTTGACTGATTGTATATATATATACTATTTGAAGCTTTCAATTTTACAGTTGGTTTGACGATTTCCAAATGACAAATTTTATTAATCAATTATTTTCTCAATTTTCTTGTTTGTTAATATAAGGCTTACTTTTAATTTATTAAACATTGAAAGACGGAAAGGTGAATAACAAGAAATCATTGTACGTTTAATTGTTTTCTGAGGAAAAACTTGAGAATGACCTCGATTGGGTTCTCTCTCTTATAAAAACAACTGAATAGAAGATCCTTCTATTGACGCTATTATTCATTCCAGTTGATGTGAAAGATTTTGTTGTCGAAGTTTTTTTTTAACGTAATATATGTACGATAAGAGTGATGAAAATGAAGAAAATGGTTCGTTGTGAATATTTTTAGTTATATTCAAAAGAAAAAATAATTTTCTCATTATTTATTAATCAAGATTGTAAAAGAGAAAATAATGAGACGAATCTATTCAATTTATTTCAATTCAATCAGAATATTTATTTTTATTCTATTTATAGTCCTATCGACAAACACCCAATTATATTGTTACACAATATCCATTATCTCATACATGCATTGATTTCTGGCGTCTTGTATATGATCATAATGTGTCAATAATAATGTTATTGGAACCTATATTGCGTGATTCAGTGAGGCATATTGATTGATTAATAGTTCTATGTTTAATTGAAATATCATTATATGTTTATTTAGAAAACTATTTATTATTGGCCTACAGGTGTTGGACACGTAATATCTTATGGACCATTTGACATAGTTATGATGTCCCAAAAAGAAGATGAACAATTAATTGAACGAGTTTTTGAATTGAAATATATAAATAAAAATACATTTGTATGTAGTTTTCATATATATATATTATTTTCTTGATTAATTTTAATATTTTTAAATATTAGGCTACTGATCGAACAAGAACAATACGTCAATTTCAAATAAAAGATAATTCATATTTATTAATTATTGTAAAACGTTTTTTAAAAGAAATGCGTACATTTAATGGACAAAATGTTATTCTTCAATGTTTGTAAGTAAAATTAATTGTTTGAATTTTTTTTACTCGTATTTTTTAAATTAAAACAAAAAATAAAATTCTATTCAGAAATGGTGCAACATGGTCAGGCTATTTTGCTGCTCTATGTAATTCAATTGATAAAATGCAAACCGAACAAATTGTTGATCCATTTAAAATTGTTCGTCTTCTTCGTTTTACTCGGCCACAATTTATTGATCAAGTAAGATTTTTTTTTTTTTTTTTCTATTAATAATTATATCACAACAAAATCTTATTGTTCGTTTATTAATCAGGATCAATATGAAAATTTATTTGTATCCATACGTGATTATGTACAGCAGTACATGAGTGCAACATTAACACATCGTCCTTCTGAAAATTCTTTCTATGTAGAACCGTCTGGAGAACATCAATCCACTACAACTAATCGAGTTATACAACGATTATAATTTCTTTTTTTTTTTTAAATGCGTAAAATATGTTTTGTTTTTTTGTTTTTTGTTTGCTTTTTTTTTTTGGGTGTCATAGTCTTTTTTCACTACGTTACATACACTCGGTGATATCGTTTTGTGTTTTGAAATCAGAATTAAATAAAATAAAAAAATATTTCTAAAGAAAATTATATTGATCAATAGAAAGATTTAGCTGATAGAATACTATTTAATGATAATATTTTGAAATATTCATAACGATGATGTAACTATTGAATATTGAATATACGTTAACAAGTTTTATGTTGAACAATTAAAAATATTCTTGTAGAGCTATCAAAAAAAAAAATATTCCAAGTATTAGAAAAAAGAAGTTTTAATAAAATGGATCATTCTGAATTTGGTTTCATACTTGATGTAATCGATAGGTTATAGAGAACACAAGCATTGTAAAGTTTAGACTCGATAAACAAAACATTAAATAGTGATAAAAACCTGTTAGTGCAATCCCTAGGAGATTAAAATATGAAACATGATATAACTGCTGCTGCTAATCAGAGTGAGATTATTTTATTCTATACATCTTGGGACACATTTTCTTCACCCTACTTTTACTTAATCATTTAGACATTGAAACAAGGACATAGTTTATATGCTGTAAAGAGCCGTTATTCACATACAATCTTTGATAGTGTCTGACTAGTATCTGTTACGGTCAGTGAGAAAGAGAAATAAAGCTCAAATATCTATTGTATATATTTCAACACTGTTTTTAAATCGTATTTCACAAAAAGTGAAGGCACGTAAAGTCTATGATTGAAAATCTTTTATTGTTATTTGTAAAACATCTGCATACTGTTCAGTTTGTAATGAATATAGAAGATCTCATTCATAATAATGCAAAAGAACTTGAATTTAATTAATATATAAATTAAAGATATTATACTATTGATAAACTAATTAGTTTATACGATTTTGTTAATAGTAACAGATGAACAAAATACAGACACATGTTATTCAAAATCATGTGAATGTCACCATAGTTATGTTTTTAAACTACTCACAACAAGTGCTAATTCATGAATTGTTATTGTATAATAGTACCAAACAAGAAGAAAATGAAAGAAAGCATCTATTGTTCGATTAATGAGTTGTTTTGTTCATATTAGCCAAGAAACAAATTATTATAACAAGTATAACACGTAATTTAACTTGTTAATAGTATTCTTTATAGCATCATTGATCAGATTTATTAAAAATTCATGAAATTAAATCAGTATCAAGTAAGTATCCTTCAAGAAGTTATGATAACGTATATGTGATTCGTTTTCATATAATTTTAGTATTGTCGAATCGAATGTTCACGACTAGAAATGAGCGAAGCCAAGTTTATTTTGGTGTCGGTATTTTTTTTCCACTGATTCGATTCATAGTTCTAGTAAATCTGGTCTAGTTCTGGTATAGAGAAAACTATTCCAGAATTTATTTCTATCACACTTAACAACTATTTCAATACTCATTTTTTTGATTTGTTTATTCAACAACTGACATGTTTTCGAGTCATACCTCTTGAATTACAATCTAATTGATGTGATTTATAACATAATTCGCTTAAAATCATTGAATATTTAACTATAATTTTTAATTACGATTGGAACAGTTTTTTTTTCCCGTAGTCTTGCTTCCGACAAATCTTTTCAAGTGAACTCGATCGATTTCCGGCAAATCTTCGAATTTTGATTCCGCAAATTTCTATTCACAACTCGTTTCTCAATGAATAACAGATACTTCAGACACTTCTTTTCTTTTTAAATTAACAACCAGTAAATCATAATTCAGTTTCCTATGTGCTTTTATTATTTTGTTCACCGTACGAAATAATCTTAAGTAATTTATCTAAATAAACTATTTTATTGTTTTTATTACAGCAGACTTCTTTAGATGTTCTTCTCTGTAGTTTCTCACCTTCTTACAATTTTGACAAATACATTTAGTATTTTTACTTAAAAGAACTTAATTCACCTGATTACCTTTTTCATTCTATTGAATCCAATACGAACATCAAATATCACATTTGGTACACTTGAACTTCGTTGTGATATCGATTTAGATATAGGATATTTGATCGAATTTTCGCTTTCAGTAAAATAGAAATGAAAGTACATACTACAATCATCAAACATTATTTATGTTATCAAGTGACATTATTAACGCAACGTCAAAGCATAACACAACAACTATAAGTATATCCTTTGTTATTAATCGTTCTTTTATTTTTTTTATTATTATAGGGCTTGACATGAAACACATTGCGATATAAGGCTTAAGAAATAAGATTAATTAAAGTTATTGTTTTGATTTCATATGATAAACAAAAATATGTTTACAAAGTTTTGTTGTGATGAACCAATCGATTTTTTTTTTTTGTCTATACAATGAACAGAGCAGCACTTGTAGAAGAGAAAAAAAAATAAAAATAGTTAAGCAAACAAAGAAGAAAAAAAAAAAGATTTATTCGAAAACACCATTACGACGATAAAATGATTCTTCAACAATTTTTCCTCGGGCATATGTTGGTGCTTTAAATTGTTGACCAGTTTCACCTAATTTCCATCCATATTCCATTGTATTTGATACAGGATATTGATATTTATGTTCAGGTTGAATTTGTTTGCGTATATTTAAATATTTATAACGACCTTTTTCTTCTTTTGAAAAACCATCAAATAAAACATCTTTATATTCTTTTTTAACCGGATACATTTCTTTCAATGCATTTGGATTATGTTCTAGATCAAGTTTTTTAGCTAATTCATCTAATGTATCACTTGGATCATAACGTGGTTTAGGTCTTGGAGGAAAAACAATTGTCGGTAAAGAACGACCAATTGGTTTAGCTGTAGCTTGTGTATAAAATGCACGCTTAAACCATTCATCATCATTTGGATTTGGTTTGAATGTTTGATGCCAAGAGACACGAGTCATTGCTTCTTTTTCAATTAATTCTTTCCACGCATTTTGTGTGCGTGTATCAAAAGCCATACGTGTCATGATTAGAGCTTGTATAAGTCTTTTAGATAGATAATGGTGTCTAGAAATAATGTATATACATAAAGCAAAAGAAAAAAAGAAGGTATCCGTTACTATTACACAAAAAAAAGAAAAACGTTTTATATGTTTTCATTTCATTTTTATTTGAAAGCGAATGAAAGAAAGAGTGAAGAGATTGACACAACAGAACAACCTACCATGACAACGAAGAATGACGCGGCATGGTTTACTCTAAGGAAGGACGCAACAATAACCGATAGAAAAAGAAAGAAAAAGAAAAAAAAACCAGTTGATGTTGTCTACCTTTATTGTACCACAAGAAAACGACTACAAGAAAGTCATGAGAAGAGAACGAAAAAATTCTCACCAAGAGCAAGAATGAACATCTTTCTTTTGTTTTTCTTTTACTCCTACAATTATATGTACAATGTAACATATATGATCAACGACTATTGATTTACAAGAACATTTTTAAAAGTTTTGTTTCATTGAAAAAAAAAATCACTGTTATTCTTTGTATAACGAGATCCGAACATTCATTGCTGATGTTTCTTTTTTTTTTCTGGTTAAACTGTTCATTGAAGTGTTATAATCAAATCAATATTATTCTTTTGTTGATTAGCATGAATATGATGACTTTTTTTATCTAATCATGGATTGCATCTGATAGCATCAAATGCAAACAATCAGCTGATGATTGAATGTAATTGGAAAGAATCTTCGCATTGTTATAAAAGACAGAATTAATCAAAATATTACAAAAAATAATTTTTGAAGATATAGATAAAATATTTTCAGTCATATTGAGAACATAATGAATTTCCTCTAGTCATGATTTTATCAAACGAACAGTTATTTTGAACAATGCTTCAATACCCATCTACAGGCAAGTTGATTGCACAATGATTTTTTTTGTGTGGCATATATATAGAAAAGGATGGCCCAATTCGAAGAAGGAAATGTCAGAGGTGTAACATCCGATTTGTCGCTCCCTCGATTCGTACCCAATTATTAATTAACTATATGTTTTATGCAAAAGCTTTAGTAACGACTAACTTTAGTCAACATGTACTGATGATACTGTTGAGTGCTTGTACCATCATATATTTCACGGTATTTGATTATTTTCTTCTATGTTTTAATGACATAATCAGAGAAGTTCTAGGTCGAACACTATCATAGCATCACAAGAGTTAAAAAACACAAGAATTACCATTATTGACACTATACTGTATGGATTTCCCTCGAGATAATGGGGCTTTATCTTACCACCCACGATCCACTGGTTATGCTACTGCTTTGTTTATTCTTATATTTTGTATGATGTGCATCTTGTGTCATTCTCTAGTAGATGTCATATGATCTTTCTGTTCGTGTTTCTATTGATTGTACGAATTCTATAATCTTCTACGTGTATCGAATGATACTGTGCATGAATATTATATTGGTTTTATATTGATCATGCTATCATGAAAAGGTAGTCGAATTGTGAGAAAACATGATGATATTCAAAAAATAATAATACATTTTAATACTATTTAATTCTTGATTCTATAGTTTAATTACAAACAAATAAATCTTTATGATATGAGAGTAATATCTTGTGACAAAAGAATCTTTACATGCTCTAAAAGAATCGAGATTTCAAAATGTTGACTGCTTCTGATCAGTCTTGTGTATGAAATGATGTTAATTACAATCTATTTTAGGTTTTTGCTAATATCAAAATAGAAATAAAATCCTTGTGATAATGTTATTGAGAAAATGACATTCATAGTCATCTGCAAACATTTTTTTTGTTACATTATATAAATCAACCATTAATTCAAGAATAAAGATATTGCTTTAGTTTAGATTTCTTAAATTTTAAAAGTTTTCTCTTAAAACAAAATGTATTTTATTTAGTTTTCACATGAATCTATTCTCATGTTTAAATAAATTTGAGTTTGATCTTTCGCAAAAATTAT